TGGAGACCAGTTTCCAGCATTTAATTTGTCTGATATTTTTACCATAAAGACATCCACATAAAAATCATGAAGTATCACAGCAAGTAATTCTCCACCCCCCCCCCCCCCCCCCCTCAATGCTGCAGGGAAGCCGAAGAGACAGAAATCACAAGACATTCATACAGTGAAGAGTGGAGACCACAGCAACTCTTGACTGCCAAAGAATAACAACAGAAGAAAAAAAAAATCATCAGGTACAGGATAACCCATTTAGAAAATTGGGAATTCCTGCCCTCAAGTAAAGGGGGAAAACCAGAAAAGGGGGGAGAGAGAAAGAACAGGGGACAGGTAAAAAAGGGGAGAGAAACAGTTATAGGGAAAAAAATGATGTTCTACATGAAACTCAGGTTGAAGGTCTACCTATTTGTGTGCATATGTTCAGGATGTATTGAAGTCTTGCACACATATGTCTTTCTAACCAAAACAGCATCACTCCCCCCATCTCTCTTCCAATATTTTCCTGTCCTCTACCTTTACGGGTATTTTTTAAAAAGTCCCGCATTCCCTGCATGCTACATGTCTCAGGCATTTTTAGAAGCTTCCACACTTTTCTCCTTCTTGCTACTGTATTGTAAATGAGATTACTTTGCCAGATTGCCAGTTATTTTTGGCCAGCTCTGACTGAAAATGCAACAGTAGAGCTTCAACAATAGAAAGAAAAAATTTCACAAGATAAATGGAGCTTGGTGCCTTTTGGCAACCTGAGGATAACGGGACAACTGGCACAGAAATGGTGGAGATAAGGTCAAGGACACATGCACCAGGCGCAGAAGGTAAAAGGATGTGTGTGAGGGTACATAAGTGAGCCAGCAGTGGCTGCAAACGGGTAGACATGACCAGGGCATAAGAAGGGTTTCAAGATTGTTTATAAAATGCCTGGTTCTGGATATCTGTCCGTTTCTGGCGCTGTACAATTTGCACCCACTTAAAGTCTTCGCTGTGTAATTATTTATGAGATCTGGAGGAAATTATTCTGTAGGTTATTAGGCTCTAGCTTGATCAGATGACAGCTTCATAGTTCTTGGCTGCTGCTATTTCTACATAATGTCACTCAGTACAAATAACGTGAGTGCAACATTTATAGAACTTCAAATAGGGTAGACAACATTAGACAGGTCTCTGTATCAAATTGGTTAAGTAGTTTGCCTTGAGCTCTTAAAGGTTACGGGACTGATTTCAGATTCCTTCTTTCGGTTCACCAATACAAGTGTCTTGGAGATCCTTGAGGATTGTCACTAGAACTAGGGAGTTGTGTGATTTGTGAAACAGTAATCATCTTTTTTTAGTTCTAGGCTGGATACTATTTAACTATATTATATTACATTATATCCTAAGAATGTTATTATTATAACTAATAAATGTTTTGAGTCTGAGGGTGATAAAATATAACACCATGAGAAAGAATGATATAAAGTAACAATTGAGGCAGAGTTAGCTAACATAATTACTGGAATGAAAAAAAAAGGGGAGGAGGGGGGGGGGGTTAGAGGGTTAAGAATAGTATATGCTGTCACAACACAACATGTAAACAGAGAAAAGGAAAAAGAAGGAACACCTCTATACAGGGTTTAGCATAGGCTGGTTGAGGCCTTACACATCGCTGGGAGATGAAAGGCAGAAAAAGAACAACAACAACAACAAATAAATGAGACAGACCAATAAACAAAATCAGCATGACATAATCTGGGTTCATTCTACAAGCTGGGAGCCAGGGAACGAAATCCGCAGAGCATAAGTGATGTTCACTCCACAATTATGAGACACAGAACCAAGTTTGTGTTGATTCCAGATTTTCAGGACAGAGAACCGAGTTTGGGAACATAATCCTTGTTTATAGTTTAGGAATATAATCTTTGTTGATTCCTCACTCATGGAACGCAGACACAAGTTTTGCTAACATAATTTGAGGATTATGGGCTACAAGGAAAAATGTCAGATAACATCATGGCCATGGACCACACTTCCCAAAGAGCAGTGAGAATACAAGAAGGCATGTCTGATATGTTTGCAATCAATACAGGGGTGAGGCAGGGATGTGTTCTGTCTCCTCTCTTATTTACCATAAACACAGACAGAATATAAAATAAGCCAGCTTTAAAGTAGTTAATCCAGAAAGTGAGGACCTTTACCTTCCAGAAGAAAGAAGAATTAACTAGATCCACATACAATAAACAAACTAGTATTTGCAGAAGATCAGTCCCTGTTCTAAAATGAGGGGAGCAAGACAGGCTAAGTTTGACATGCAGAAGCTATATCATGAAAATAAGTACTACTAGAGTATATTCATACCAACAATGTGCTACCAGTGCCAGACTTGGACATTATCAAAGGCTAACTATATAAAATTAACACCTGTGAAATTAGATGCTTGAGAAAAGCCACCAACTTTAACCATCAGATACAGTTAGAAATGATGTTATCAGACAGAATGTAGGAACAACAGCATGCAGCACATTCATTGAGAAACAGAAGATGAAACAGATTGGTCATCTAATAAGAACACAGACAGAACAACTACCAACGCAGGTGCTACACATTTAAAGAACTGAAGTGAAAAGCAAGAGGTCGCCCTAGAAGAAGATGGATTGATGACATTAAAGAGCTTCTACATCGACATGGAATGACAAGTCATTGCTGCCCATCAAGCAATGGATCGCAAACTGTTCCTCCCCACAACGCTTAACGGCAGAAGTGGAAACATGATGACGACGATAAATCTTTGTGGTCTATTGGTTAGATGCTCACCTGTAGATCTGAAGGTCATGGATTCAAATGTTAACAGAGCAAGACTTTTAAAAAAAATGGTTGATCCAGAGTTAAATGGATACCAGGTAAGGTCCTGGAAAGTAAAGGTGACCAGCGTGATGCTGACCACATCACCCATTGAGTGCTGATTGGCCTATAAAATATAGATCTAGCACCATATACCCAATACGCCTAAAGGCATGGAAAAGGGTTTCTTTACTATTTCACAGTTATGCAATAAGTGAACCAAGTCAACAATATCACTGTTGATTCCACAATCATGGGTTAGAAACCCCCCCCCCCCCCCCCCCCCCCCCCCCCCCCCCCCCCCCCCCCCCCCTCCCCCCAAATAAAAATAATAAACTCATTGGCCCTCAAAATAGCAGGCCCTAAAAGTTCACTAATTAGGGTGTTTCTTTCAAAGTCATAGTTCATCTGCCTAAGAGGCGAGAGACCAACAGTCTGCATACAAATACGCCACATCAGTTTAAAAAAAAAAGATGTGCATGTGGAACTCAAGTTCTGAAACTACTAAAATACAGGAGTGGATGATAAACCAAGGCTTTTGGCCAGAGTTTAAAACTGGTGAACACGAAGAAGAAGTTTGGGAACCTCTGTCTTTAAGGACAGCACATACAGAATGTTTTCTTGCAACCAGAGAAGTCTGTGCATCAAACAAACAAAACAACTGATATCTTCACAGACTGCAGTGCTTTTCATTGCAATCATCATCATCACTTCCATGTCTACATTAAAAGTGCATTTAGTTCCACTGCATGAAGCATGACCTTTGCACATGTGGTTTCTCTGGCAACTGATGTGAAATGACAAGGCTGCCAACCAAAAGCAGATCTGACATTTACAGCTCATGACATGCTGCGGTGGGGCTTATTCTCTCTCGGCTAGCATGTGCCTCAGGACCACACACTTGGAATCCTTACAACGTGTATGCAAAGAGAGGGGAACTGCAGTGGCATAGTGATTAGCGTGCTTGCCTGGCAAAACAGCACTCTGGAGACAAAATCCACAGCAGGGGCGGGATGATCTTTTCTCCACCAAAAGATATCAAATCAAACGAAAAGTCGAACCCAGTCAGCTTCACAGATGATCACAGACATAAACCACACACAGGCCTAGGCAGCCTTTATCAGCAGACTACATGAAGATACAATACCACAAACAGGCTAAATTGCCTTTATTAGCAGACTACATGAAGATACAATACCACAAATAGCCTAGGCAACCTTTATCAGCAGACTACAGGAAGATACAATACCACAAATAGCCTAGGCAACCTTTATCAGCAGACTACAGGAAGATACAATACCACAAACAGACTAAACAGCCTTTATCAGCAGACTACATGAAGATACAATACCACAAACAGGCTAAATAGCCTTTATCAGCAGACTACATGAAGATACAATACCACAAACAGGCTATGCAGCCTTTATCAGCAGACTACATGAAGATACAATACCACAAACAGACTAAACAGCCTTTATCAGCAGACTACACGAAGATACAATACCACAAACAGGCTAAATAGCCTTTATCAGCAGACTACACGAAGATACAATACCACAAACAGGCTAAATAGCCTTTATCAGCAGACTACATGAAGATACAATACCACAAATACAAACAAGAATACTCAAAAAAATCATTTAAATGAAATATCTCTGAAAGAAATCACATATCTGTCTGCCAAATCGAATCTATGATATATGTGTGACCAATAGAAAAAAAAATAATAGTCAGAAAAAGAAAAGAGCTGTAAATGGCAAAGGTAGTAACCCAAACATATTAGATAAAACTGTGTTAGATGTTAAGTCTCCTACGCAAATACGAGCCCACTAGATATCTTTTTTTACCAGTACATCGAGTCGATCCAGCCTTTCAAAATGAGGTGTCAGACTTCTTCTTTTTCTACTTTTGCATGTAAAATGGTGGCTGGCACCCTTTTATCTTGTGGTTTACAGCTAAGCTGAATATTTGTACCTTTCAGCCTAACATATCTTATTTCAGCAAATCCCTAATTTTAGTGTTTTAGTGCAGCAAAAAAAAAAAATAATTTTATTTAAGAAAACACCTAAATAATGGCATTTTATGACATGTGGCAATGGATATATATTTTTTTTTTCTCCTTCAAAATGGGGCAGTGGAATCCACATAAATGAACCCAAAACAAACGGCAACCAACCACAAAGACATACCTGAGCAAAATTTGCCGGAAGCTGAACCTGCCACAGCTGTTGCTGCTGCTGCTGCTGCTGATGTTGGTGCTGCTGCTGCTGATGTTGGTGCTGCTGCTGCTGATGTTGCTGCTGCTGCTGCAACTGCATGTGCTGCTGTTGCAACTGCTGCAGCTTCAGTTTAAGGTGAGACTCCTGTAGCTGGCGTTGCAGCTCTTCAATCTGTTTGGCTTGAGCCAGCACCATCTGGTCATTGGCGGTCAGCTGAACCGTGGTGGTCTGGGAAGGCTGCTGCAGTGAGTGCTGGTGAAACTGGTGCTGGCTGAGTTGCGTCTGCTGCAGCAACTGTTGCTGGAGCTGTTGCAGTGTCTGCAATTGCTGGAGTTGTAGCAGTGAGGCTGGTGATGACAGCTGGAAAGTTAAAAATAAAATACTTATTCAACTGACAATGTGCCTTGAGTTTAAAGTCACACTTAAAGGATAAAAAAAAAAAAAAAAAAACAGGCTTCCAGAAGCACCTTCCCTAAAAGTATGAAAACAAGGAAATGTTTTTGGGAGTATAACCAGACGGCTTGATGTTACCCACGGAGTCATGACCGGTCTATACAGAATATCTAAGTCTAACATCATATCCAGGTGTATCAATGATGTGATAAGGGTGCTTTTACTTTACTGTGGCACAGTGGTCAAGCCGTCTGCCTCACACACTGAACATAGTGCCGTCATTTTGGGCAGGCTAGGGGCACTGGCTGGTATCGCAGTGATTGCTTTAGCTGACTATCTTAATGCAACTGACTGTGTTTGCCTCATAACTGGTGGCAGAGAAAGTAGAGTTAATGCAACTGACTGTGTTTGCCTCATAACTGGTGGCAGAGGAAGTAGAGTTAATGCAACTGACTGTGTTTGCCTCGTAACTGGTGGCAGAGAAAGTAGAGTTAATGCAACTGACGGTGTCGGCCTCGTAACTGGTGGCAGAGAAAGTGGAGTTAATGCAACTGATGGTGTCGGCCTCGTAACTGGTGGCAGAGAAAGTAGAGTTAATGCAACTGACGGTGTCGGCCTCGTAACTGGTGGCAGAGGAAGTAGAGTTAATGCAACTGACTGTGTTTGCCTCGTAACTGGTGGCAGAGGAAGTAGAGTTAATGCAACTGACGGTGTCGGCCTCGTAACTGGTGGCAGAGAAAGTAGAGTTAATGCAACTGACTGTGTCGGCCTCGTAACTGGTGGCAGAGAAAGTGGAGTTAATGCAACTGACTGTGTTTGCCTCGTAACTGGTGGCAGAGAAAGTGGAGTTAATGCAACTGACTGTGTTTGCCTCGTAACTGGTGGCAGAGAAAGTAGAGTTAATGCAACTGACTGTGTCGGCCTCGTAACTGGTGGCAGAGAAAGTGGAGTTAATGCAACTGACGGTGTCGGCCTTGTAACTGGTGGCAGAGGAAGTAGAGTTAATGCAACTGACTGTGTCGGCCTCGTAACTGGTGGCAGAGAAAGTGGAGTTAATGCAACTGACAGTGTCGACCTTGTAACTGGTGGCAGAGGAAGTAGAGTTAATGCAACTGACTGTGTCGGCCTCGTAACTGGTGGTGGCAGAGGTGGAGGAAGTGCTGGGTACTTGCCTGGGTTGAAGATGGGGTGGACACTAGGCTGAAAGCGCCTTGGTGCAACCGCAGAAGTGTTCGGCGTCTGTGTAATTTGTATAGACCTCTCAGGATCGTCACCTGAGCTACAGAGTTTGTGTGCTGTTCGATGCTCTCGGCAGGAGGCTAGCCATTCTGCAGAAAGACACTGATTCCCATGGAGAAAAAACCCAGCGCACTGAAGTAAATCCTCTGGACTTTAATTTTAACTTCCTATAAATTTTTTTTTTTAAACTGACAGCATTTTTTACCTAGTGGAGATACTGGTTTCATAGTTGCCAAGAAGTAATTACACACAAAACAAACAGTCAAAAATGGACATTAGACAGGGGCACTGTTTGGAGCCGAGGCAAATTTTTTGCTTCTGCCGGATGGTGGCCTATGAATGTTTGCTCCATTTGTAGACTGGATATAGTTTCGTCGCCCACCTTCTGAACTGAATGCATGGCGTGAAACTGTGAGCTGCGGATTTCATTTGGAATGTTTTTTCGACTGTGACCAACGTGATGGTGTGAATTGTAGATTCAGAACATGGCGCAATGCCTGTTAGCAGTGCCCCTATGTGATTAAAATTGATCGCGTGGGCAACTGCTGATCTGTTGGTGACTTCTGCTACCATCAATGCTGAACTGCATTTCTAATGTCGGACAGTTTGTGTTAGCACTTCGGATGGCTACCGTATGTTTTATTTAATGCGTGTGTATGCTAGATATGCTGAGACAGCAGTCTGTCAATCTTTCCACAAGGGACTGTGATAAACATTCTGTGTGTTTTTAGTTGGCACAGGAGCGGAGCAAAGATGGGATGACCCGTTTGCTATGAAGCTGAAACTAAGACTACCAGACTACCAGTCAGAAAGCTCCAGATAGAAAGGAAAAGTCATACACAAATATAACAAGATTTTGACAAGTCTTGATCAACAGACAAAATAACAGATTAAGTACACCACCAACCAGCTCAACATGGCACAGGGAAAATGTAATGGGAGAAAATACAGGCAGACATAAAAGAAGCAGTTGGAAAACAGTGGAAGACAAATTATAAACATGACTAAATAACTGAATACAAATGAGATAAAAGTATGTTGAACATTAATTTCCGCAGGGATGGAAATACCAAAACTATAAACAAAGTCTAGGTGCTTTTGTGCGTGACCTTTCATCAAAATCTGAAGTCATAGTTTCTTTTGTGTTTAGTTACTTCTCGATATCAGCTCCACAGCAGTCACTCCTCACTACTTTAGATTGTCAGAGTAGCTACAGTGTTCCTGCTTTGTGTGAGACTCTTGGGAGCCATACAGGTTAATAGCCAGTGCAGTTAAGTCGAACAAGCCGGCAGACTTAAACTTTAAAGCTGCCAGACGGCCTTCATTTGACTAACTTGCCAGTTTCCTTCTTCTGCTTGTACACACTTGCACTTAAAAGGATGCCTGGAATGTTGTGATAGTGATTTACAGCTAGGCTGCGATACCTCCTGAGCCTTTCGAGCCAACATATTCAACAATAGCAAACCTTTTAATTAGTCACCTCTTACAAAATACTTGTTAAGTTACAATGGGTCTATTATTTTTTCCCCCCTAAAAATGGAATCCTAAAACTCACATAGGGAGTACATTTCTAACTACATGAATTGCCTGTGTGGGGCCTAAAATATGTGGGCTAAGAGCTAAACATTTGCACAGCTCAGGGGGGGTAACAGCACATTTCCACACTGACAGGATGCAAAACAAGTCAGCCAGCTTCATACTGAACGCTAACCTGACAGCCAGGATAATGCTCAACAGGCATATTTTAACTCCTGTGTAATTTCATGACTTTCTCAAGAGCTAACACAAACAAGACAGCAACAAACTGCTGTCAAGTGCCCTGTTTACTACCAAAAGAACAGATATACAGTTAGCAAAAAGATGTAGTGTTAGCTAAGAGATGTAGTAGTTAGCTAAGATATGTTAGAAGTTGGCAAAGAGATGTAGTAGTTGGATAAGAGAAGAAATGTTAGCTAAGAGATGTAGTAGTCAGCTAGGAGATGTAGTAGTCAGCTAAGAAAAGTAGTAGTTGGCTAAGAGATGTAGTAGTCAGTTAAGAGATGTAGTAGTCAGTTAAAAGATGTAGTAGTCAGTTAAGAGATGTAGTAGTCAGTTAAGAGATGTAGTAGTCAGTTAAAAGATGTAGTAGTCAGTTAAAAGATGTAGTAGTCAGTTAAAAGATGTAGTAGTCAGTTAAGAGATGTAGTAGTCAGTTAAAAGATGTAGTAGTCAGTTAAAAGATGTAGTAGTCAGTTAAGAGATGTAGTAGTCAGTTAAGAGATGTAGTAGTCAGTTAAGAGATGTAGTAGTCAGTTAAAAGATGTAGTAGTCAGTTAAAAGATGTAGTAGTCAGTTAAAAGATGTAGTAGTCAGTTAAGAGATGTAGTAGTCAGTTAAGAGATGTAGTAGTCAGTTAAGAGATGTAGTAGTCAGTTAAGAGATGTAGTAGTCAGTTAAAAGATGTAGTAGTTGGCTAAGAGATGTAGTAGTCAGTTAAAAGATGTAGTAGTTGGCTAAGAGATGTAGTAGTTGGCTAAGAGATGTAGTAGTCAGCTAAGAGATGTAGTAGTCAGTTAAAAGATGTAGTAGTCAGTTAAAAGATGTAGTAGTTGGCTAAGAGATGTAGTAGTCAGTTAAAAGATGTAGTAGTTGGCTAAGAGATGTAGTAGTCAGTTAAGAGATGTAGCAGTCAGCTAAGAGATGTAGTAGTCAGCTAAGAGATGTAGCAGTCAGCTAAAGGATACAGCAGTCAGCTAAGAGATGTAGTAGTCAGTTAAAAGATGTAGCAGTCAGCTAAAGGATACAGCAGTCAGCTAAGAGATGTAGTAGTCAGCTAAAGGATACAGCAGTCAGCTAAGAGATGTAGCAGTCAGCTAAAGGATACAGCAGTCAGCTAAGAGATGTAGTAGTCAGTTAAAAGATGTAGCAGTCAGCTAAAGGATACAGCAGTCAGCTAAGAGATGTAGTAGTCAGCTAAAGGATACAGCAGTCAGCTAAGAGATGTAGTAGTCAGTTAAAAGATGTAGTAGTCAGTTAAGAGATGTAGCAGTCAGCTAAAGGATACAGCAGTCAGCTAAGAGATGTAGTAGTCAGCTAAAGGATACAGCAGTCAGCTAAGAGATGTAGTAGTCAGTTAAAAGATGTAGTAGTCAGTTAAGAGATGTAGCAGTCAGCTAAAGGATACAGCAGTCAGCTAAGAGATAGCAATCAGTTAAGAGATGAAGTAGTCAGCTGAGAGATGTAGTAGTTACTTGAGAGATGTCAGTAGATACTCCAGAGATCCAGTAACCAGCCAAGAGATGTAGATGTTCTTGGTCAAAAGGCACAGACAGAAACCAAATTAAATCGCATCAAATGCCCTTTTCAGGGAGTACACAGAAGAATAACAGTTGTTTGTGAATATTATACTTCTACTTCAGTTATTCCTCCTTACAAAAGAAATGCCACTTCTTTTATGGTTTTGACAAGCTGGGACAGTAAACCTACGTATCCTATGTATGATTTGGTATTTATGACAACAGTTTACTGAACTGCACTAAGAGGACAGCTTCGGGTGCTCAGTTTTACCCGTACATTAACATTAGGTTGAGAAAAACAAATGTGGCATTACTGGAGACAATTACAGATCTAATTCCCCAGATGTGGCCATAAGGTCTTCTCATTGTTTAGTTTTTCCAAGAGTTCTCTCTCTTGAGACAAGAGAGAACACCGATGCCTGAGTAGTTAGCGTTCTTTGGATATTTTCTCCAGGTGGTGCTGGTGTGTTGGGAAATGAGCAGGCAGATAGACTGGTAGGCTCTGCACCACTTGGTGGTGAATTGATGTATGACAAGCTGGATATTTTTAGAACCCTCTGGAAGTGAGTTAACTGATGTATGACAAGCTAGATACTGTGAGAGCCCTCTGGAAGTGAGTGAACAGTGCAGAGTCACAGATAAATCATTTATGGTCTGAGGAGAATGGCGCTGCAAGGAGTTACCAGGGGATCTGGCAGACGCTAAACACTCAGGGGAAGGCAGATATACAATCAGACAGCTACTGGTGCCAATGAAATTGGAACTCTTTGCTTGCTGTTGAAGATGGGGGACGGAGCGCTTATGGGAGTGTCCTGAGAGCTATGATGTCGATTCTTAATTCAACAGAAGGGAATGCCCTAAGTACAGTGATGTCAACTGTTTTTTTCATTCATTCATTTATTCATCTGAGGAAGACAAGTGGAAAGTTAAGCACTTACTGTATGGGCCAATGGTCCTGTTAACTGGACTGGGGAAAGGTGTGTCGGAGACAGCTGAGACAGAGGCACTTTGACGGCTTTCAGCAGTGAAGTGGCATCTTTCACGGGGCTTAGACTAATGGTCTTTAAGCCATCACCACCTAGACTCAAACTCAGGGTCTTCACCGCCATGCCATTTGATCCCAGGTTGATGGCTTTGATTGTGGCCGGGTCAGTGTTAGGGCTGATGTTGATTGTTTTGATGGTGGCACTGGCATCGAAGTTTGGACTCAAGTTGATTGTTCTGATTGTGTTGGCATCCATAATGTTTGTATCAATGCTGACAGTCTTTATAGAATTGTTGTCTAGGGAATTTGGGCTGAGGCTGACCGTCTTGAACCCTGCGGTGCTGATGGGATGTTGAACAAGAGCCTTGAAGTTTGCAGAGTCCAGGCTGTGACCCATGCTGGCTGCCTTGAAGGCGGTATCATCTACTCCCTGATTCAGATCAATGGACACAGAGTCGACTTCCATAGGCATCATCTCTGCGGGCACAACTGACGCTGAATGAGCTGAGTCTGCACTCATGGAAACAACAGTCTGTCCATGAGGTGCAGGGTTTTTCCCTGGGCTCCCGTTGTGTATAAGGTGATTACTTCCCAAATTTGCCGACTTTCCCAGACTCTGGGCAATAGGATGAGATGACAGGGTCAGCTTTGGGGTCAGACTAGGAGGTGAGGTGGCTTCATACTCTGGGCTCATGGGTGTTGTTGGCACTGGAGTAGATGCCTGCAGGGTGGGAGGGGAGTTGGCTGGGGAGATATCAGTGGTGGTCATGGGTTCCTCTTTGACCATTGGCTTGACACTGACAACTGTTTTTATGCCCTGCATGAAAGGGAGGGTGATGGGCATGGAAAAGGTGGAGGAGGTATGATTGCTGGCCCCGGATGCAGAAGAGGAAGTTAACAACGAGGCTGCAGTAGGAATGGGTCGTGTAACAGGGGAAGCTGTGGTTTCACCATTAGGCTCAGTCTTGATGTGAAACGTGGTCTGACTGAACTGCAAGGGAGCAGAAGCACACGAAGGTGGTCTGGAATTTGAGTTCTTAGGCACAACAGTAGAAAGCACAGGACTGTTACTGCTGCTGGACTCTGTAAAAGGCTTCAGACGTTCTATAAGCTGAGGTTTTGGTCCAGAAACAGGTAAACTGCGTTTTTTGAGCTCTGCTTTCAGGTCAGCCACTTTCATCTCTTCTAAATTTGCAGTCAGTTTGGGCAGGCTCAGGGCACTGGCTGGTATTGCAGTGAGTGCTTTCGCAGACTGTCTTGGTGCCACTGACTGTGTTGGCCTCGTAACTGGGGGCAGAGGAGGCGGAGGTGGTGGCGGCGGAGGAGGTGCTGGACTAGCTTGCTGGGTACTTGTTTGGGATGAAGACGGGATGGACACCAGACTGAAGGCCCCAGGTGCAACCGCAGAGGTGTTGGGCGTCTGCGGTTGCTGCAGAGAGACTGCTTGAACTAAACCTGTTCCTCCAGCAACAATTGGATGAATGTGTGTTGTGGGTGCGGTGGTCACAACCGGGGAGGTTACAATGACAGAATTCAAAGTCGGGGATGTTGCAGTCTCGGGGCCAGCAGACACACTTGCAGTCCCGTGCTGTTGCTTCTGCTGAAACTCCAACTGCCACTGTAGAAAAAGCTGCTGCTGCTGCAGTAAAATATGATAAGGTGTGTCCTCCCCGCAGCCACCGCCTAGTGCTGCTGCTGCTGCCGCCGCTGCAGAAACATTGGAGGACTGGTTCTTCACAACTGAAGGTGGGCCTTTATACTCATGGAATTTGATGATTCTAGCTTTAGACATGGTCTTGGGTTTTGGCTTTTTGGAACGAGACTTGCCTGAGCTGTTGCTGTTATTACTATAAGATAAGATTGAGCCTGAGCTGTTGCCGATACTGCTGTTATTACTAAAAGATAAGATTGATGCTCCAAAACTGGTCCCTGGGTGGCTGGAATTGAGTGTTGAAGTGGAACTGGATGCAGTGATAATGGCCGAGTTTGCAGACACAAATGGAATCTGGGGGCCTTTGTTGATGGTCAGTGGAACGGATATGCTCTTGGTTAATGTGAAAGATATAGGCAATGATTCTGAAGAAGGAAGTGGTGTTGTAGAGCTTGGGCTACTGACGTCTGAAGACTCATCCATGGATGGTGAAGGGGCTCCATCGCTGCCGGTGCTCTCATCATCAAATAAGAATGACGAGCTGGAGTGTTCCATATCTTCGGTGTCACAGGTTGGTAAGAACTGGATTGTTCCATCTGGGGGAAGAAAAAGCAGGGACACTGTTATTCAACTCATTCAGTACGTAACAATTCTGCATCTGTTAAAGATAAAAGTGAGAGGATCGACTTCACTGCACCGGGTTTTATCCTATATGACTCAGTCTCTCTAAGAGCAGAACAGCTAGCCGCCTGCCAAAAGAGTCACAGTGAGCACGACTTCCATAGCTCCAGCGACCATCCTCATGGATCTCCGTAAAAATTGCACTCGTGAACTGAACAGCGCCACTGTTAACTGATCAGAGTTGCCGTGAAGTGAACTGTGTTGTGAAACAAACCCACGACCTTCACAGCGCGAGGCAAACGGCTTGACCACTTCACCAGGGAGACCCCCTTCTGCATCTCTGACATCTACCTACAGTTTTTGTTTATAACTCCTTATGCCACCACACTCAGTTGTTACACCAGCTTACAATGTCCCAAATTCAGTTCCATTTCTCTGCCACACATACTACTATTTCAAGTCATTCTGACCCAAACAATTATTAAGACCGCTTTTCATGCCAGTGACATATCGGCAACATGATACTAGAGTCATATTTTAATAGCTGAGTGATGTGGTAAACTTCATGCCAGCCATCTTTACTTCCCAGGCAGAACAAACAAACTTTATTTCCAAAGGGTTATAAATTGGGCACGCAGGCCCGTCTTACATTTAGCCCTTCCAAGCATTAATCTTTCATATGGCATCCTATGTTTATATATCAAAATTTACGGTTTGACGGTTTGATGCAAATTAAAAATACTTTACTTTAAGTGAAAACTGTTGAGGCAAAAATGAGTTAAATTATATCTGCCTGGTACCGAAACAGTTGAGAGCCAACAGAGTCTGATATAAGGCAATACAAAGGTGTTTTAACTCTTCCGGTCCCAAACAATGCACCACCTGTGTGTCCAAATGACCCATGCAAGACACAATCTGATATGATAAATACTAGTGAAATCTCGTTTCTTATTTGAACATGTCACATGGTCCATGTTTCATGCAAACTGTGTATGTGCTGCCTCTTTGAAAGATATGCACTTAAATTCTATTCACCATAGATATTATTTCCATTGGGCATCTTTATAAACATCATGTGACTGAAAGAGTTATATTTAAATAAGTAAAAAGTAAAGTAAAGGACCCTTTTCCCCACCTTTAGGCATATAGGGCTAGACACCTATATTGTATAGACCAATCGGCACGAGATGGGTGATGTGGTCAGCATCACGCCGGCTGTCTTTACTTCCCGGGACTGCACCTAGTATCCACTCAAGGCTAGGTCGACCTGGGAGCCAAGGTCTTTTGTTTTTAAAAAAGTCCAGATCCGCCATTTTACACAAAATCTGACTGGATTCCAAAGCTAACCCTAAGATCTTCAGAGACAATGAAATGTACTTTATTTGAAACTTCTTGTGATCACACCCTAATTTACACTGAAAGACAAGTTCCTGTGATAAAATTTACTGCTCTAAGGAGTTTCCTTTTAGTCCCATACAACTCTGAGTATGGTGTTTGACTCAATGGATCAGTATTCCTTTCTTAATGGTCTGTGAGGGGCTGCATGGTCTCCAGGCATGGTGTCCACCTAAAGTGCTAGAGGTTCCGGGTTCAATCCCCGGTAAGTGCTGGGATTTTGTCATGTGGACTTGGACTTCTAGTAATTCCCCCTGGTCTCTGGGTAGTGAAATCGGACGCCCGTGTGCACTGTTGTGCACATAAAAAAAATCCCTTGGCTGTTGGAAATCGAAAAGAGCAGCCTAACAGTACTGCCCGGGGAAAATTTTGAGTTAAAAATCTACCCAAAGTATTTCAGGATCCTCGCCGGTGCTACAGAGCCTGTGCACTGTGCTGAGCTTTTTCCGACTCAGACTCGAGTTAGAAGAAGAACGGAGCAATTATGGGTTACTACCCGTGTGCCATGATGTTGATCCTCTTTTTAAACCTCAAACCACTTAATGGTCTATACAAGGGACATTCCTGCAAGACACGTTCTGCAGTTTGCACATGCAGCCCATATTGGCACAAATACTCAGACGAAGCCTGTGCTTATGCTTGCTAAGTTTTTTATATCCTGTCCTGATTCATCGTATAATGCCTATGCTGGTCAAGTAAGTGGTAGTCATCTCCGGCCAGACTCTGTTCACATCTGACAGACTGGATGACCCTTATTTTTCTCAAAGTATGCGCTATTGCAGGCATTGATAATACGCCAAACTGTCTGAAAATTGCCTGGGAAATACAGTAAGCTAAAATGGAGCCACTCTCTGCATTTCATTATGCTACGTTCTAGAAATTGTGAAGGCCTTACACTTCACACTCCAGGGCCAGTATCTGTTGTGGAATAGCTTATACCTGTAGTAAGTATATGAGATACTCTTATCCCAACATGATAAGGTCAGTGATAAAGCAATGAAACCAGAAATAAATATTAAGAGAGAGAGAGAGAGAGAGAGAGAGAGAGAGAGAGGGAGAGAGAGAGAGAGAGAGAGAGAGAGAGAGAGAGAGAGAGAGAGAGAGAGAGAGAGAGAGAGAGAGAGAGAGAGAGAGAGAGAGAGAGAGAGAGAGAGAGAGAGAGCAGGTTCTGAGTGGTGTAAAAAAATAGGGCAGGCTGAAATTCTCAGAGTGTGATCATTCGGAGGAAACTGAAGTCTTTATCAGTCACTTAGGGGCGTCTCCTCAATAGGGGGTATTCTGGACGATATTCAAGGCTCAGGGACGAGGGGTGAATATTTAATCAGGTTGCAACTGGCAACTGTTTGTGGCTACTAAAGAAGAAGGAGATAGCGTGTGCGGGAATGTTTCAAGTGCAATGATGTAAACTTTTCATTCAATCGTCTGCAGAAGGAGAACACCTTCAAATGCAATCATGACACAGCAAAGCAAATACAGACCGGCTGTGGTTGGGTGAAGACAAAGAAGATGAGAAATATTGACATCTTAAAAGATCTAAACATCAAGTAAGATTGGCTAATAAACAGCATCCTGTCTCAGAAGCTAAAATATTGTGGTCATACCAAGCGCCACAACGGATTGGAAAACATTATAGCACAAGGCATGGTACCAGGAAGGAGAGGCAGTGGCCGACCAACACGAAGATGGGCACAGGATATGAGTGACTCCTTGAGTATGAAAGTACATGAGGTGAAAGCTGGCGAGAGACCGAGTTTCTTTCAGGCAGACCGTGATGAAAGCGACGTTCTGCAAAAGACCTGCTACATGATGATAATGATGGCTGGGTGATGGATTCTAATATTTCCTCCACAGACTTCAGGTTTACTGCTGCAACTTTCAGCCCAGACAGACATTTTAGATCTACAGGAAAACAACAGAACACAATAACAATAATCACAGATGCTGGTGATAGAGCTAGCAGGAGACTAAGAATCAGATCGATTAATTCTATCTAAGAATATCAACAATCAAACAGAGCAAGATGAAGAAGGAAGAACAAGAATATGATGGTCAGAATATATCTAAGATGAAATGGTGCAATGTATCTGAAGCACTGGTCAATCGACAACAACAACAACAAAAATTTATTTTAAAAAAAAAAACATGGTTTTTAACTCAAATCGCACTGATTGTGTTGACACACCAATCAGTAGACTGAAATCAATCCAAATGAGAAGCTTGATTTAGACAAGGCAGATGTCATACAGAGAGCTATTTTTCTAGCAGTGCTACTAATAGCTTACTTACCCTTAATGGCACTGGCCAGCTCATGTGAAGGCTGTAAGATATTTCCTTGCACCAGCTCCAGTGGTCCAGGTCTATGCGCCAGCTTGCCATTGAGGCCGTCCAACAAACGTGAACGCTTCAGTAATCTTTGACGCTCATGTAACGATGGGTCTATTGTTGTATCTGCAAACATACAAAACATTCTCATCCTTTCTCTTATTACTGTTGATACCAGCAAACATTTTCACCTTTTTTTTTTTAAAATTTAACCCATTTAATACAAATCCTTACACTAAAAAAAAAAAAAAACTAGAACTAGTGAAACATCAGCAACATATTTTCTTCTCCTTCTTAAAAGTTAGCGAAAAATGGTGGTTGTTCATCCGCTTCTAGACTTGAGCCTTGTTCCAGAACTTGAGTTTGTATTTAATTTTTCATTTTTTTTTTCTCAACCCACCTTGTTTATTTATTTATTTGAAAACTGTTGGTTCCTTGCCTCTCAGGTAGATGCACTTAGTCTTTGAAGTAAACAACTCTAATTAGTTGACTTTTACGACATTTAGGAGGACAGTGGGCCTATACTTTTTCCCCAGACAAGGAGTCTGCAAAACATGACTGAAATGCTTCACCCGTATCACTGACTCGGAGAACGACCCACTCAACATCTGGTACCAGGAAATGTCCTGGGAGGTAGATTGTTGACCACATCACTTGTCGAGTGCCGACTGGTCTATAAACATATGAATCCAGCAATCATCTGCCAGACACACCACTGGATTGAAAAGGGTACCTACCAACTTCCCAAATGTGTTGTTAGCTCTTGATAACAGGTGAAGGTTTCAACATGAATACTGTTCCCTGTTGCCCCATGACTTCCAGCAAGTACCCAAAAAAAAGTAAAGGCCCCATTGTGCGCCTTAGGCTCAGCATGTATATAGATAGTGCCACCCCCCTCCCCTCCCCATTTTTGAACAAATCAACTGGCACTCAATGAAGGCTGACATTCCACTGGCCATGTCTGCTTTCCAGATGATTTTCCTGCTACCCATTAGTGGCAGAGTTGAAGAATTATGCAGTGGCTGGGAATAATGATTAAGCATCCTTTACATATAGTGCCTGGGACCAAGGGTGGATTAACCATTAAGCAAAATAAGCATGTGCTTAGGGCATCACAGAATGGTCACAAATTGCTCAGCTGAGCATTCATTTTCCCAGCTGAAATATATCTTTTACCATCAGATCAACAATGCAACAAGGCAGGCTTAATGCCTGACCTCTCGGGGAGGGGGGAGGGGGGGGGAAGAAAACTTCAAAAATAAATAAAGTGGAAGTAGACAAAATACACAATTATTTCAGTAACAATTACATAAATTAAGCAAATAAGTGAATCCTTTATGAGAGAAGTACAATTTCAACAACGATCAAACATAACTACCTGTTTTTAACCAAGGCAGTCATAAAGACAGAACCATATCTTTCTGAATACAGAGTCCCGAGCGCAGGTGACGAATCGCGGAGGCTTCGAGAAATCTTACAATTATTTTCCATCTTACTGTAAGTTTTGTTTCATTGTAACTACGTCAGTCTGAAAATAGCTTGTCCACTGTGTGGGTCCAGCCATAGGCAGATTACTCCCACAGCTTCACACATCAATAATACCCCCCCCCCCCTCGCCCCCCTTCCAAACCTCTGCAGTGTGAACATAGCCATCTTGCCTACCATGTGGGGATAACCATGTGGGGATAGCCACTTGTGGATCACCCCCACAACTTCACACCACCAGAAACACAAACCTCATTACCTCTTACAAAAACAATTTATAGGAACCTTCATTACATTTTTTTTTTTAATGGGAGAACTTCTAGAAAAACAAGAGTTTCAGAACAGTGTTTATCACATGAGCTCTGGAACCACACAAAAAAGAAACTCTGTTGGCAGGCTGTTATGCTGCCACCTGCACCTCTCCATCATTGTTTGAAGTCAACATTTTTGTGGGAAACCAGTGATTTTCACTCCCACTCTAACACTAAAGTTTGTCAAGTTGTTGCCCTTGTCAGAAACTCCATTTCTTCACTCAAACTTGTGCTTTTTTTTTTTTTAAACTGAACTTTGGAGAGCTTTTTGCTCCATCAATCCTCTTGACAACAACATTTCTAGAATCATTCCAGTACTTAACATCTGCAATATGTGTCAAGGTTGAGAGTCTTCTTCTAACTGGCTTCCTCCCCCACTTAACTCATCACAATCAACTATACACCCAGTGGTTTGAAGTATTAGACAAATGCAACAGTTCAGATAAAGCTCCTTTTGCTTAACTTGGTTAGTTTTTTTTTCTAGTCTTTGAACAAAATGTTTTGTATGAGGATCTGTTAAATCATTTTTATACTTTTATAGATTTTCAAATGTTAAAGCCTGACATTTTTGTACATAAATAAGAATCTGACTGGTGTTGTGATAAACTGCTTTTACTTCCCATAAAATTGTTGTCAGCTCCCATTTCAGGCTGGTTTGGCTTATTACTTTATTTTTTTTTTTTTAAACATGAATTGAACACACGATCACAGGGTTGGCATATGGTCACGCTGGCCCCTGTGCCCTTTAGGCCTATTACCATACCATGAAGTCAAACGTTCATTGTGCTACTTCCATGTCTGGGGTAGCTCTTAAAGGAACCCTTACCTTCAAGTATATGCTGCTGAACAAGCAATTGTCTGTCTGGCCTCTGTTGGATCTTGTGCCGCAGCAGATCACCAGTCTGTCAGCAGCGACAACAATAATGGGATAGTTACACCAAAGCTAAAATGCTTTTAGAAACATGCTTTACACAAAAGAACCAAACATCAGGAAGCAAGTAACATTTTATTCTCCCTTGGTTCTGTACATCTTCTTCTTTTTCTGCATTCATCCTTAAGAGGGCAGTTGACACATGTCCTGTGGTTTACAGCAAGGCACAATATTTGTGCCTTTCAGCCCAATTCAACAAATTTCACCAAAACCTTAATGAGTCACATTCTACGACATGCTTGTTAAGGGGCAGTGGTTCTGTGCATCCCCGCACCCAAATGGGGCCCTGGAACCCACACTGGCAGCTCTGTACATCTGAAATCAACTCTTTAACTGTGACCTTCCTGAACTAATTCCTACCCTATCCTTTGACCTATCTGACATGAAAGGCAGGGTCACTGAGCCTAACAGACAAGCCCTTCTACCACAACAGAAGGGAGAGAATCAGATGGTTCTTCTTCTTTTTTGTTTTTTCAAATCATCTTCTACCACCTCGGGTGTCGAGGAAGAAATAAGGATTCTCATTTTTCTGGCAGCCTCAACCATAGACACATCAATGTCTTTTACAATAGTAGTTTAAGTAAAGATCCCTTCTGACGCCTTAGGCATATCGAGCATATGGGAAAAGCACACATTTTTTTACATAACAATCGGCACTAGGTGGGTAATGTGGTCAGCATTACGCCGGCCATCTTTACTTTCCCAGGACATCCATTCTGGTACCCGTTTAAGGCCGGGTCGACCTGCGATGCCCCATACTATGGTTAAAAATCCATGCAGCTAGCTGTGGGTTTCGATCACGGTACACTGGAATTACGAGTCGGAATTACAACCCCTAAGCTATGGACGTTGAGCTATTACAATAGTAGTAAGGAAAAAATGATACCCAAAAAAGGTGCCGGTACTGCAACTATGAACACAGGAAATCTGCACTGATACTCACCTTTGCACGCTCCAACTGTTTGGTCTTTTCTGCAAATGCTGGTGGTGTCTTCAATGCTGTTAAAAGAAGGTGAAAGTTACTGTAAACACTGATCAACATAAAACTGCAATAACTTGACCTGTCATTAATGGACATCACAAATGTAAGCATTTAACATCCGAATCAGCTGTACATGTCAACACAGGGATGCTGCAACAGATTCTGAATGGTATGATTACATCGCTGATGTGGAGATTTGGGAGAGTACTAAACGAATTCTAGCGAAACACAAGGAGAGGAAACAAACGGCCTTGGATACGACACATGTTGAGTACACCTGTTAACAATGTAACTAGAATGTCTTTGCACAGAACCCACAGGGTTAAAAGAATAAAGACAGATCTGCACACACATGCACAGACATACACAAAGAAGGAAACTAGAAAGTGAGGTTAAACAGATGGATTGGACATGGGGTGGGCTGCCTGCGATGGCAAATGACCCAATGATAAAACAACTTGGAGTGAAAACACACATTTTCTTTATTCGTTTCTTCCATACTATATTGGATAGGCCTGTTAGTTCTCTTGTCATTTCAATGAATATTTACAACTCTTCGCTAAAATTTCTATACAAGGATGAAGTATATGTCTTTTTCCTCCTTGTTAATTTGTTATTTGTCAAAGATTTATATTTATATATATATGGGAGCCGCTGTAGTCTAACGGCTAGGCGCTCGCCTGCGGACCGGAAGGTTTCGGGTCCTGATAGTGACCCTGGCTCCCAGGCCTTGAGTGGGTACCAGGTGCAGTCCTGGGAAGTAAAGGTGGCCAGCGTGATGCTGACCACATCACCCACTAAGTGCCGTTTGGTCTATTCAATATAGGGCAAGCCCTATATACCCAATACACCTGAAGGCGTAGAAAAGGGTCCTTTACTTACTTATATATATATATATATATATATATATCCTGCTGCATGACAAAAGGGAAAAAGGTCGGGGTCGGAGGGATCACGAGGGGAACAAAGATGAAGTAAAATAAAAGTAAAGATCTCTTGTCCTCACCTCTAAGCGTATTCAGAATATAGGGATAGACTTCTATTTTCATAGATCAATCGGCACTTGGTGGGTCAACATCATGCCGGCCGCCTTGACTTCCCAGGACTGCACCTGACACACACTCAAGGCTGGGAGTAAAGGTCAGTTTTGCACACACAAAAAGGCCGGCTCCGCCAGTACGTGAACCGGCGACCTTCCGATCCGCTAGCGAGTGTCCAGCCGCCAACGCCACGACGACTCCCCAATTAAAGTAAAATATGACCACACAAGATTACGAGCTCTGAGCTTCTGCGAGGAGAAACAGGTTCCATGTGTGGTATGTCAACAGTAGTCCCGAAATCCCATGCTCTAATTATGGAAGAATTTATCTTGAGTTGAGCAGGTCTTGCTAGTCACCCTCGCCAAGACCGTCTCCATCTGACGGGCCATGCTGCTGACGTCATCAAACAAGGCTTATGATACATTAACGATGTTTTTTATTTTCTAAACTGTTCTTAGTCGCGGCGCCTTTTTTCCTGTTAAAATGGTTCCATGGCGACCTAACATAAGTAAAAGTATGACTATTCGTATGTAAGACAGTGATTCCCAAAACTGTGCGCCGGGGCGCCGAGACCTCTTCACAGGGGAGCCGCGAAATATTCGAAGATACAGGATTTTTTTTTATCTCTTACATACGAAAAGTCAGATTTTTACTTAGGTTAGGGCGTCGTAGAAAAATGGTAATTGAATAAAGGCGCCGCGACTAAGTAGAGTTTGGGAAACACCGATGTAATGGAAAAAAAAAAAATAAACTCGTATATCTTCGAATATTTCGCGGCGCCCTTGTGAAGAGGTCGCGGCTCTCAGGGGCGCTGCGGTGCACAGTTTTTGAATCACTGCATTAAAGTATTGTTAGCCCTGTTTGGTGACGTCAGAAGACTGGGCCAATCAGAAGGAGAAGCTCTTGCCCTCGCTATCAGCTGGTGGGGGATGGCGGGAGCTGAGATTCACATGCTTGCCGCTAATACAATCTTAGTTTTTTTTTTAAATGTGTCATAACCGTGGGCTTATATTTGTATTATGAATAATATACATTCCCGCTGCGGCCAACATTTTTTTTTAATGTTACGGTAGTGTTTTCGTCTTAAGCGAGTTTGTGTTAATGAGGTTTTACTGTAACATTATTCTCTGGGAAGATGGAAACGTACCAACAAACAACACACGCACGGACGTAGGCACTCGCAAACATACAAACAGACACACACATACATACATACATTCTCTCTCTCTCTCTCTCTCTCTCTCTCTCTCTCTCTCTCTCTCTGTGTGTGTACTCTAATATTTGTTGCTCTATCTGTTCTTTTTCTTCTTCTTCGCGTTGAGCGGCTGTAAACTCCAGCAGAAGGTTCTGGTTGTTCGGTGAAAAATTCTAGGTGTTTCGTCCACTTCTGGAGTTTAGTCTTGTTGCAGAACTTGAGTGTTGCGTGCACGTAGATCTGAGAGATCTGGCTTATTTCAATGTAGACTTTCAGTTCCTTGCCTCTAAAGTAGACGTGGTACGTCTCCGACAGATGCCCCCATTTAGTCGGCTCCAACGACAGGCTTTTTGCGGAGGCAGTGGGTCTATTCTTGTTGTCCCCACCATGGGGCCCCGGAGTCCAAACGAAAAGTCTGTCATCTTATTTTCACCAGTTGTCAGATTTTAGGTATACTTCTAAAATGCTCACAAGGTAGATATTCAAAAATGCCCATCTTCTGTAATTCCTCTCTAATGCTCTATATTCCTTAGACATATTCATCAGCAGTCATTTTGTTATGTTTCATGCCATGGGATATAATTTTTCTTTTTCCTCTTGCATTTGCACCAACGTTATGAGCTTTTCAATATCTATTTGTAAGCTAATAGTTATATTATACTCCATTAATAGCATACTGACGTTCTTGTATTCCTATGATTATAAAAGGATAGCATTTGTTTTTCCCCAAAGTAATACTTCAATAGAGGAAGGGGAGGCGGAGGTGAATGAGGAAGGGGAGGCAGAGGTGGATGAGGAAGGGGAGGCGGAGGTGGATGAGAAAGAGGAGGCGGAGGTAGATGAGGGAGGGGAGGCGGAGGAGAACTAATATGAAGATGCCAATGATGAAAACACATAAGGTACAATGGATCCGCATAATGTGGGTTAAAATCCGCATAGTGGCAGATTTGTTTTTCAAATGTGACCTTGGATTCCAAGTGTGTGTTCTTTCACTGAAGGGGACGCTGGGTGATTCCTTTTACGGAAAAGGGGGCGGTGGGTGACTTCTTTCACTGAGAATGGGGCGGTGGGTGACTTCTTTCACTGAGAATGGGGCGGTGGGTGACTTCTTTCACTGAGAATGGGGCGGTGGATGACT